ATTGTGATACATAATGTAGAAAGTTGACAATATACTTTTAACCAGTATTATGCCTTATTTAAATTATCTCATTAGACAAAATTTTCACATTAGTTAACATGAAATTTTTTATTACTTCAAAATTAGGTGATGAGTCATTGATACATGTAAATATAATCTTGTTGAAAAATTTATATTTAGAGAACTAAGGATAAGTGATGCATGTATAAAGTGATAATAGTATAGAAGAACAGGTACACAAAGGTTTTGAGGTTCCCATGGTGGGAAGGAAAATCACAAACTTTTTGATCCAATAGCTGTCAGTTCAATTCCTACCTGTATTTATTTCTGACTTTACTTTGGGGAAAATAATTAACTGCTCCATACCTATTTTCTACTCTATAATGAGAACTGTGATACTTAATTTATAGAGTCAGTTGATAATTAAATAAAACCTATTTTGTGAAAGGTAGGTTGCATCTACATATATTTATAAAATAGTCATATGTGACAGTGTATGGTTTGGATATGTGGTGTCTCCCCAAAAGCTCCTGTATCAAACAGGGTTGCCACAATGATTGGATTACGAGAGCTGTGATCTAATCAGTCCCTCCTAGTTAGAATGAACAACCTAGGTCATAATGTATGTAGGCGGAGTGTGGCTGGAGAAGATGGATCAATGGAGTCAATTTCCAGATGGGTTCTTCTCCCCTGTGGTCCCTTTCTCTCTTGGGGTCCAGGTCACCATAAGCTGAGTAGTGATCCTCTATCATGCCTGGATGCCATGATGCTGTGCCTCACATCCATCCCAGAACAATGGAGCTGGCCAGCCATGGACTGAACCACTGAAACTATGAGCTAAAATAAATGTTTCCTCCTCTAAGTTGTTCTTGTCAGGTATTTTGTTCACAGCAATGCAAAGCGGACACTGACATAATGTAATAAACTATAATCACTATATTTGAAATACTATCAATTCTTTTAATTATTACCTTTTTCTTGCATTCAGTTAGATTTTCCTAAATAAATACACATTTTTGTTCATCACCCTTTCTGAGACTTTATTTAATGAGGATACTTTTCGTTTATTTAGCAACGTGATTCAACCTGAACCCTTGTTTTTTCCTCTTAGGTGACTTTCCTTGTAGTCATGGAGAGAGGGCTTTCATGATGGATCCTGTGAGGTGGTTGGTCCTCTTTTGATGTGTTTTGCCATGTACATTTTGACTGTAACAAGAAACACCTCCCTTGTGGTGCTGAGGTGCTGATCTGTAATGACTCCCAGCTCCACCTATGAATTTTTTTTTGATTTTTACTGGAAATCTGCTTCTCTTTGATCTCTTATTATCCTATCCAAAGATCCCAGTGGCCTGCATCCCTGAAGCATCTCCTTTGCTGGCTGCCATAGCTTTGTGTTATTCTCAGGTCATGTTTATGTGCATTTTTATAGCTGCCTGGTTTCTTGGCTTTACCAAAGCCTTCATCATCAGCGAAGACAGTTTTGCCCTGGATTTTTTTCTATAGGGACAATGCCACTGTTGACTTCTTCTGTAATATCCCCCATGGCACAGCTGGCCTGTGACAGGAAGGATGGCTCTCAGTCTGTGTTGGTCCTGTTCCTGGCCTCCAGGTCATGACTCCCAGTGAATTCATCCTGGCCTCCTATCTCTTCTTCATCATCACCACCATCTGTGAATCCGCTGCTCCCGGGGCCAGCCATCTTAGGGCCTTCTCCACCTGCTCCTCCCTCCTAGTTTGAGTGACCTTGTACTATGGCTCCACCCTCTACGTCTACACTCACCCCTCATCTAGGTATTCTTTGGATATGGACACCATCATTCTGAACTTTACACAATCATTCTGTGGTGTTTCCCGTATTGAATCCTGAAGAATAAGGATATGAAAGAGGCTCTGAATAAACTACATAAATAAAAACCAAATCATTTATTTCTGAGGATAAGCAAAGACAAAATTTGCATGATCTAGAATTCTTTACAAGTTATCATGCTTCCACATGACTTAAAATAGGAAGAGTAGGACAATTTAGGAGATAAAATTTGAATATGGAATATAGCATTTGAATTGAATATTATATTACTTGAGAATTAAAGCAGTCGAAACATCAAACAAACAAACAAGAAAAGTACTTATAAGCCCCAAATACTTATCTGATTTTGTAAAAATATAGAAGAGCCCACTTTGATTGACATAAAAGATTTGTTTGACTGATACACATACAATATTCCCTATATAATTATTTCCGAGAATTAAGTACAAATACATTCAACTAATTGCTACTATTTTGCTATGATGAATAATTACATGATATTTATTACTTTCCACTCTGTTAACATAATATCTTAATCATTTTTATATGTGCATTTCTCCCCCAGAAGCATTAACACACAGGTACACAGGCACTCACCATTAGGTCCATGCAAACTAGACGGAGCAGGTATGATCCTTCTAATGTATATCTCTTTCATATATTTCTTCATAGAGGAATAAGTAAGTCACAATAATGATTTTTTAAAGTATCTATTTTTTAATTGTAGATGGACACAATATCTTTATTTTGTTTATTTTTATGTAGTTCTGAGGATGAATCAGAGTTTCGGACATGCTAGGCGAGCACTCTACCCCTGAGCCTCAACCCCAACCCCTCACAATAATGATTTTTTTTAGACATGGCATAACTCTGAGGAAGGCTCTTTATTTTGTAATGGTTAAGTTACAAGGACTTCTACATCCAAGTTGTGACATTTCAAGCATGAAAACACAGTTATTATAACAAAAAACATTTATGGGGCAGTACAACAACTTGAACAATATGAATACACATTAATGGGAAGGTACAATTTTATTAGAGAATAAACACAATTAGTGATAAAATGGAAAGGGAAATATGAATGTTTCATTTAATTTTGTTTAATATTTTAAAATAAGAGAATATTAATCAATACATGTTTATAAAGCATAAATATGTTCTTGTATATATCCATTTCAGCAGTAGGGAAAGAATTTTGTAGAAACAGGAACTTATTCAAGTAGACCTAGAGCATGCAGAAGCTCCACACAGAGTAGGAAGGCCTGATACACACTGGTTGTCATGCATGTTAACATATAACTTGGAAAAAAGGTGCATTAGTACTTGTTGTAATGCACAGTAATCAGTAGAGAGGAGGTCCAATGGCATAATTCCAAGATTTTTGATTTAGATAGTATCCCAAAAAAGAAAGAATTTATGTGAACTCTGCCTGTACTGTGTAAGCTATTTTGAACTAATAAGAAAATTGCTACTTAGTGCATTTCTAGTAATGTTAACCTGTGCCAATGCTGTATATATGCATGCACATATGTGTACAGACACACACTTATATACCCCTATGAAACTACCTACCTCAATCCTTTTGTGAGAAGCAACTCACATCTATAATTCAAACAAGAATCAAGATATATATATATATATATATCAAAGAGAGAGAGAGAGAGAGAGAGACTGACTGTATCCTGGTCTGGCATAAGAGTATATTAAGTTTATTTTATGACTGTAAAAGTTTTCTAAACTCAAGATTTGTGTTTAAATAATATTACCAAGACCCTAGTAATAACATGAATGCAAATAAGATAAACATTGGAAGATAAGAAATAAATAAAAATTTAATAAGTAATTAAACATGTTTCACTGATGTTCTAGAACCTGTTTTAAAACATTTCTAATACTTAGCAGCATGCTTTTTACTTAAGACTATAATTTTTACTCAATAGCTATAAATTTCTAACCTCTAAACTGTAAACTGCTCATATAAAATATAATTGATAATCCCTAAATTGCAATGGTATTAAAACCATTTGTTCAACATTTCATTGTTACAAGTATATTGAAAAAAACATCAACTGAACACTTGCCATGTGATTAATATGGAAATGTCACTTTCTACACAAAATTTTCAGTTGGAGGAAAATGATCATTGTTTCCAGGACTAGTGGGGTGCTTGCTAATCTGATGGTTTGATTTTGTTTCAGTCAATAATTGATGTTATTTTCCCCTCTTTGGCTTACATTTTGTGACCCCAGGGAGAGAGTACTATGGAATACTCACTTCCTTTGCAGAGATACTACTCTCTTAAATTGATACCAGATCCCCAAAATACATGTTTCATTGTGAATTTTTATTAAATTTAAATAACACTAAACACTTTGACAAGTATTATGTTAATGTTGGAAGTAAGAAGTTTACACAAATATATTCTATGTATTCAATGAGGTCCTTTGGAGGAAATTTGGAGGGGACAACTTAAAAAAATAATATTTGTAAATCTGAAATAAAGTTCCAGAAATCTCAGCATTTTGTATCATTTGCTTATCAATAATATCTGCTTGCCTACTTAAAACTCAGACTATATGCAAAAACAAACAAACAAACAAAAAACCATTAAATTCTTTTCTACTCTTTCCAAAATGTCCCAAAGAAAATCAAGAGCAAAAATTTTATAAAAAATATAATGGACAAAGATACAGAAGTTTGAACTATTCAGTATTATAGACTTAGAAAATGTACATCACAAAAAGTAATGATAATCATAAAAGAGGGCTTTGTTCAATGTTTCATTGTTACAAGTATAAATTGTCAATTATGAAGGAAATATAGAAATCTGTATTAACGTATTTCTAAGTCTATTGGCTGCAGTGGCACATGACTTGCCATGTCAGTTACTTGGAAGATTGATGCAAAATGCAAAATGAACTTAATGCACAAGTTCAGGGTCATCCCAGGCAATTTACTGAGGCGAACTTATCTCAAAAAAAAAAAAAAAAAAAGAGGGGGTTTATTTATGTAGCACAGCTACATCATAAATAGCACAGTTCAGTGGCATAGCACTTGCCTGTCATTTATGTATGAGTTCTTGGATTCAATACCCAGTACCACAGAACAAAACAAAGAAAAAAAAATCAATCAAACAAACAAATACCTACAGTCAATAAATTGTAAACTATAATAAAATAGTCAAAAATAACCTTCATGCCTGTGATGGAATGGACACTATTGCTTTCTTGAAGGCCTCTTTGACATCTTTATTCCTCAGGCTGTAGATGAGAGGTTTGAGCAATGGGTTGATGATGGTGTAGAACAGGGCAGCCACTTTGTCTGTCTCCTGGGAGTTGCTGGAAGTAGGCCTTGAATAAACAAAGAGCAAGGAGCCGTAGAAGGGCATGTCCGAGACCAGGTGGGAACCACAGGTAGAAAATGCTTTAAATCTTCCTGAGGCTGAGCGGATCCTCAGGATGGCCAGGAGAATGTTGAAATATGAAATGAGGATGGCAAGAAGGCAGGAGAGGACAGTGAAGCCAACCATACTGGACAGGATTATCACAGCTGCTCGAGTATCTGAACAGGAAATTTTTATCAATGGTAGAACATCACAGAAAATGTGATCAATGATATTTTTGCCACAGAAACTCAGCCGGAAAGTATTGGCAGTATGGGCTGCAGCATTTAAAACTCCTCCTATGTAAGAGCCAGCAACAAGACCCATGCAGAGAGAAGAGGACATGATACCCGAATAAAGCAATGGATTGCAAATTGCTACATGGCGGTCATACGCCATGGCTGCGAGGAGATAGCACTCAGTATAGGCTGCAAAACAGGAAAAGAAAAACTGAGCCCCACATCCAGCCAAGGAAATGCACCTGTCTTCTGAGATACAGTTGGCCAAGAGTTTAGGAGTATATACAAAGGTGTACCAGAAATCCCAAAGAGACAGACTGCCAATGAAAAAATACATAGGTGTATGTAGCTTGGAATCTATCCTGATTAAGATGACCAGGCTCATGTTCCCTGACAAGGTTAGCAAATAGAGCGTCAGAAATATTGCAAATAGAATCAGCTGCCACCGGGGGTCTGCAGAGAGGCCCAGCAAGATGAATTCAGTCAGGATGGTGCGGTTTCCCACTTCCATGTCCACAAAGGGGAAAACCTGAATATCAGAATATGGGAAGAACAGAAAACAGTGCATCAATTAATCAATTAAGCCATCAATTATTAGGGAGTAGACATTGATCTTTTTTTGTTGTTCTGTTTAGAATTATATGACTTCGATCTGTGACTTTGGAAAGCAATTGGGATTATAGTCAGATCCTATTTTAAAATTAGTGCTTCCATTTATTATGGGTTTGATGCAGGACCATTCCCTTATTAAACAAGTGAGAAGAAATAAGCTCACAAAGATTACTAATAGCTTCCTGGCAAGCTGTCTGATTGTGCAAAGATTCGTAAGAGACCACCCAGCTGAGTGTTTGGTGCACAGTATATATTTGGCAAATTTCAGCTTTTACTCACAACTCAACAAAAAGATCTTATGTACCAAGTAGTGTGATGGTATTTATAGGAATACTGATATATTGTACTCTTCCTGCTGCTACACTGCAATTAGAAATTCATATTAGGAACTCTGTGCAAGTTACTACTCAGGTCCTACTCTTAACCAGTTTTTCTCCCCTTAACACTATAAGGAAAGTGATTTTATGATGATCTTTTTACAGTTGAAGTATTTAAGTATTTAAGTATTTAAGTAGCAAGTCTGAGTCACAGAGCTGATGAGTAGCAAGCTCATAATTACCCAGAAATTTCTTAATTGAGAAATGTGCTCCTAACATTAAGCCATTGACCACTCAGAATTGCACAATTCTTTTCTCCTATTTTCTTCTACCCAAGGCAATGCTATGGGTCTCTTAATATACATCCCTTTACTTATTAAAAAGTTTAGAAAGATATCTTACTTGGGAGATCTTTGTTTTTAATTTTCTTCCAAGTGATATAAAATTATATAAAACATTTTATAAAATTATAAAAACATTTAAGAACTCTGTGTAGAGTTAGGAAAGAATGTACCAAATGTAACCTTTCCTTGAAGAGAGGAATTAAGGTCAGTAGTCTAAAACTCTCCCTAAAGGGGAAATTCTATTTGCATACATTTTATCTTCAAAACACTAGGGAAGGCCACAGATAAGAATATTTCAAAATATATATTTGGTAATGAATGTTTTATATCTTCTTTTTTACACCAAAGCAATTAGGTCTTAGAGTGTATAAACAAAATTAGGTGAAAACTTGAGAACACTCCATTAGAAGACTTGATATTTTATTCATGGCTCTGACTTCTGTGTACATGATAAAGAGATCACATA